TGGCTGCTGTTGTTGTCATGGACTGGCTGGGTGAAAGGGGGGGAGGCACCAGCTGGGGGACCCACAAGGGAAGAAGGCTCAGAGCCCAGGAACTGGTGGTGGGATGGCAATGAGCAGAAAGAGGGAGAAAAGGGAGCAGAGTGGGAGGGGAGGAAACAGGGTTTGGTGAGCAGGAAGAGTCTGGGGCAGAGAGCAGTTCAGGCTCAGAGGGAGGAGAGGAGGGGGCCTGGAGACCCAGAGGAGGCCGGCTGCTGAAGCATCCAGGGAGACCCCCCTCCTGCTGTGACCAGCACATGCCTTTGCGTCTGGCGGTTAGAAGTCTTGGAATGTGGTGTAAACACCAGTTATTAACAGATCAAAAGGAGAGAGGAGGTATTGCGTTGCCAGATTTGGAATTCTACCATGTGGCGGCAGGATTGGTTTGGATAAAAGACTGGATTACACTAAAAGATACGGACCTCTTAGACTTGGAAGGCCACGAGAATCGGTCTGGATGGCACGCTTCTTTAATATACGGAAAGGTGAAGGTCCACAGGGGATTTTTGAGCCATGTGATAATAAAATTGTGATATAAAATCTGGAAGAAATATAAAGGACTACTTGAGCCAAAAATACCCTTGTGGACATCACCAAGAGAAGCCATATACCCATGTTAGAATACTTACAACTAGCAAAACTGATGGGAAGAGTTAGAGGAGTATTGAACCAGAAAATATTTGGAGAATGGAGAATATTTGAGGATTATAGAAGATCATATTGTACCAACCACACCATATTAGCAGAACTTGAGTGATACTTGTAAACACAACAAATGCTGTTTGTGGAGTAGACTGGAACAATATTAAAGAATATAAAACTGTGGGGGGAAACAACGGCAGTATAAACAGTACCATGAGAATGATTGAAAGTCTCATTTTGTCAGAAGTCTTTTTTATTTAATTAGGAATATTAAGTATTTTTATGCACATAAATCTGCTTTTTCTGCTTTCCTTTTTCTGTATTTTCTTTCCTTTTTTCTTAATTGTTTTTTCTTAATTGTCTTTTTTGCAGTATGAGATTGTAAATTCTTTGTATATGTGTGTACGTAGTTTAAATCAATAAAGATTATGTTAAAAATAAATCAATTTGTGGCCGGCCTGATGAAGCGTTGCTTTCTCTGGTTAGCCCCGCTGGAACTCCACTTCTTTCCAGACCCTGGGGTCACTAGAGGACTGGTGGCTGCTCCTGGCAAATGGCCTGGTGTGCGCTGGATCACCAGTCCTTCCGTGCCCCCAGAATTCGTCCAACCGAAGGTCCCATCTGGGGTGCCATCTGTTGTAAACAAAAGCTGCCCTTCTTCCCTTATGGGGGACAGAAGAGCCCTTTATAGAGACCCTTGTAGGTTCTCCATCGGTAGGAAAAAACGACAGAGGCAACCAGAGAATATTGAGAGGCAAAGCAGCTAGTAAGCCTGATCTTGATTGATCTGTTGCAACAGGGTGCTCCCCTCACACGCAGGAAAGGAGGAGGACCCAGAACAAAGGTGTGCCTGCCTTTATATAGACATTTTAAATTCCCTGCCCTGGAGCTCCAGACCACCCCTCCATACATCATACATACATCACAGAAGGGGCGTAACCCAAGACCACCCCCCACAAACATCATACATACATCACAGAAGGGGTGGTCTACAACAGAAATTTGAATGTTGTTGTTTTTCCTGTCTGCCAGGTTATCTGATAATGCCTTATCTGATTCCCTTTCCTGGTAGTCTGGCCATTCCTTTGAGATGGTGATTTCCCAATTCCTGAGACAATGGGAAGGTTCCCTCACCCGCTCCCTCCTTGCAGAGTAAACATTTGGTCAGTTTGGGAGTCAAAATGGTTTCAGGACGGTCTTCCTATGCTGCTCCAGACATGTGGTTGACATATCTATGTATGCACTTGGTTGGTAAATTTATGAACATTTATTATATATATAAGACCTTAAATTTTTTATTACATGATTCATCCAGACCAGCCTTTCACATGATGAATTCTGCATTTATGTTAAATAAGCAGGAAGACAATATACAGCCTTGTCGTACTCCTTTCCCAATTTGGAACCAATCAGTTGTTCCATATCCAGTTCTAACTGTAGCTTCTTGTCCCACAAAGAGATTTCTCAGGAGACAGATGAGGTGATCAGGCACTCCCATTTCTTTAAGAACTTGCCATAGTTTGCTGTGGTCAACACAGTCGAAGGCTTTTGCATAGTCAATGAGGCAGAAGTAGATGTCTTTCTGGAACTCTCTAGCTTTCTCCATAATCCAGCGCATGTTTGCAATTTGGTCTCTGGTTCCTCTGCCTCTTCTAAATCCAGCTTGCACTTCTGGGAGTTCTCAGTCCACATACTGCTTGAGCCTTCCTTGTAGCATTTTAAGCATAACCTTGCTAGCGTGTGAAATGAGTGCAATTGTACAGTAGGTAGAGCATTCTTTGGCACTGCCCTTCTTTGGGATTGGGATTCATGTGTTGCAATCATTCAGTTTGTACAAACACGACACTCACACATGACATAGGCAACACTTCTGTTATAAATTCATAGAAAATCAGCCGTACATCGGATCTGCACCGTTCGACTTTTATTTTGCACCATGAGGGAAGGACTATCAAAGGGGGGAGACTTGACACAAGGCAGCCAACACGTCTGCAGTTAGCCCTACTCAATTGCCATGCCAACCGTGATGGTTGTAGACAGAAGATCATTCCACTCACAAAGGACCTGCATATGGAAGTGGATTCAGTACAGGACTGAAACACAGGACAGTGACCAGCCCTTCCCTCTGGGGGGAAGGAAACAGCGAACTCCTCTTTGTCCTCAGGAATGTAATCATGGGGAGGGGAAAGAAGGAACCGGACAGGTGACAAGACCCTCAGCTTACCACCACAACTCCTCCTCCTTCAAAGAAGTCACACTTCTCTGAAGTCTCTCAGCCTCACTCACCTTACAGAGTGTTTGTTGTGGGGGAGGAAGGGAAAGGAGAATGTTAGCAGCTTTGAGACTCCTTTGGGTAGTGATCAAGCAGTATATCAAATCCAAACTCTTCTTCTTCTTCCTGAACCCCTCCACTTTGTCATGTGTCAATGATGTAGTCATGATGTAATCATGATGTAGTCTTGGGGGTGTAGCATGGGGGATTAGCAGCTAATAAAAGTTGGGGTCTTCTTTTGTTGGGGGCTTCCATCTTGTTCCACCTGGGGGCAGGTGAGAGTCCTGTGGCAACAGTCTTCAATCAAGACCAAGCCGACTGGCTGCTCTTTTGCTCTCCTCTTCCTAGCTGGTCTCCTTGTTTCTTGTCCAAGGGAGCCCTCAGATTTCTCCCTTAAGACATGGAATCTGCTTCTTGCTACAATTGTATCGGCTGCTTTTCTGAGCCTCTTGGCTGTTGTGCATGGACGGTGCCTGTGCCTGTTAACGGAAAAATCTGAGGGCTCCCTTGGACAAAAACAAAGACACCAACCAGGATAACTTGGAGCAAAACAGCAGCCTGTAGGCTTGGCCTTTATTGAACTGTTGCAACAAGGTGCTCCCCTCACTTGCAGGAGAGAGGAAGACACAGAAAAATGCTGTGCAAGAGCTTATAAAGACTTTTGAAATTGCCACCCTGTAGATCAAGACCACCCCCAGAAACATCATACATACATCACAGAAAGGAGGGGTTGAGGGAGGAGTTGTGGTGGTAACCTGAGTGTCCTGTCACCTGGCTGGTTCCCCCTTTCCCCCTCCCCATGAGTACTTTCCAGGTGACAGAGGGGAGTTTGCAGTTTCCTGCCCCCTGAGGGAAGAGCTGATTATTGTCCTTTGTTCCAGTCCGTGCTGAATCCACTCCCATATGCAAGTTCTTTGTGATCTTGATGGTCTTCTGTCTAGGACAGGGGTCTGCAACCTTTAAGACAAAAAGAGCCACTTGGACCCGTTTCCGAAGAAAAAAACAACTGGGAGCTGCAAACCATTGCGACATTTAAAACAAATATATCTCCGGAGCCGCGATCTGACAGCGGGCGGGAAGGTGATGTCGGGATGGTGCGTCCCGCACGTATCGCCCCCATGCGACGTCACAGCCAGTACAGCGCCCGCCACAGTGGGGAGTGTTGGGGCACACAATGCGCCTCCTCCCCTCGCTAGTATCCGCCCCGGAGCCGTGGCTAAGGTGTAAAAGAGCCACATGCGGCTCCGGAGCTGTGGGTTGCAGACCCCTGGTCTAGGACCATCAGGGTTGGCATAGCAACTGGGCAGGGCTCCTGTGGATGTGCTGGGATGGTGAAGGGATTATGGCTGGCCTGTATCAAACCTTCCCCATTTTGTAGTCCTTCCTTCATGGAGCCAAATAAAAGTGGAACAGTGCAAATCCGATGTATGGCTCATTTTTCTATGAATTTATGACAGAAGCGTTGTGTATGTAGTGTGTGAGTGTGTGTGAAGTTTGTAGAAACTGAATGATTGGGGGGGGGGGTTCCTGCTACAGTGTCCACGGTCCTTGTCCTGGCCTTAGTCAGAGGCTGGGGTGGGGAGCTGGGATTTGGGGGGGTCGTTTAGCTGCCCCCCGTTCCTGGTTTGAACAGCGCCAAGACCTAAAACACGGAGGGATCTAAGCTCGTGGGGTGGGGGGCGGGGAGGATGTTGCAATGCAAACCTTATAGGAGGGACGGGACCCACTTTGCAGCTGGATCTCCGGGATCAGCCCCTCCCCCGCTCTCCTGATCCAGGGGGGAACCTTCCTCTCCCCCCTCAATTCTTTCCCTCCCCTCCCGGGCACATCCTCCTCTCACCCCGCCCCCACAACCCCAGATCCCGCCCCAACATCCCACCCCTTCCTCCTCCTCCTCCATCCGGCTTCTGTTCCGGGAATGTGGGGTGGGTGTGAGCCCCCCCCAACTGCCTGCTTCTTCCGGAAGTGGAGCTTCCACTCCGGATTGCTGCTCTGCCCGTAGATCTAGGGGGGGCGCTTTCGGAAAGGGGAGGGAGGAGGCAGAGGACCCCCCCCCCGTGGATGTTGCAGGAAAGGAGAATCGGGAGGGAGGACAAAGAGGTAAAGGGTCGCGGGGGGGGGAGAGAGAGGAGAAAAGGACCCAGAGACCCCTCCAGCTCCCCCAAGCGCCTTCCGTGGGGCCTGGATCCCGGCACGCGTGCTGCGAAGGGGCGGAGATGGGGCGCCCACCCACGAGGACTCCCTGGCCCCGTTTCCCCCGCGCAGGCATCCCTGTGGCGCGGAGAGAAGCCAGGAGAGAGACCCCCCCTGTCCCCCCTTGCTCATCTTGGGGGGCAATAGGGACGGAGAGATGGGTTGCGCCTGGCGAGGGGTGAGCCAAGGAGGCTCTGGGTGCAGGGGAGACTCAGGGATGGGGGGGCAAGGGCGGGGGGAGGAGGCGGGAGGAGACGAGGACCCAGAGACCCCGCCAGCTCCCCAAATCGCCTTTCGTGGGGCCTGGATCCCGGCACGCGTGCTGCGAAGGGAGCTTTCCTCGCAGGGCGGACCCCTCGCCCCGTTTCCCAGGCTGCGCGCGTCCCATGAAAGGGTTAAGGGGCGCGAGAGACGCCTGGATAGAGACCCCACCAGTCCCTCCCTTCCGCCTGTTCGGATGGAGAGATGGGGCGCGCAGGGCGAGGTGTCAGTCGCGCTAGAGTGCAGGGGAAACTGCGGGAGAGAGGGAGGGGGAAGGGAAGAGGAGCACTGGGGGGGGGGGAGATAGGAAGACCAGTTTTTTTAGGGGGGCGTCTCAATCATGGCTTCCTTGGGCAATCTTCGAAGGGGCCGCCTTGGCTTCTCCCTCAAGCCCAGGAATACCCCCCTTCAAGGCGACCAGAGAGGGATCCCTGGAAAGTGGGGGGTCCTGTCCCCTCACCCTTCTTTCCTGCAATCTCCATCCACTTCCGACCCCATAAGTCCCTGCCCTGTCCGGACGCAGCACTTCTGCCCAGTCCAACCATTGGTCCCCTGGAGAGGAGAGGAAATCCCCAGAGGAAGAGGGGAGAGGAGGGGCCTTCTCAGAAGTGGCTCTTGGTTTCCGCAATCCCACCCAGGAAGCAGCCAGAAACCTTTTCCTCTCTCTCAGGCTTCCATCTTTATTGTCTTTTCCACTGAGGATGAGGATAATGTACACCTGTCATCAGAAACAGGGGTGCAGAGTCCATGGAATGGCTCTCAGGATTGATACAGAAGTTGCACCTCAAAAGCATTTCTGTTCCTCTTATTCTTCATAGGCAATGTCAGAGTGACTGACAAGCTGAGATACAACCCATCATCATCCCATGCCAGTGACTGCATGAATCTTCCCAGTCAAAGGACCCATTTTCATGATAGACAGTGCCTGGGGCTGGAGGCTCTACACACCGGGTGTGCCTGTGCAGGCCAAAGACTGCCAGTATTAGCACAGGTGAGGTGTGTGACCCCCCCTCCAAATTGACAGACTGTGTGTGAATGAGAGTTTGTGGGTGGGATTATAGTTTACGGCAACCCTGTGATTTTCTCCACCCATAACATTTCGTAAGCTAATATTGCAGTAAAAATTCCAAAATAACTTCAAAAAATCACAAGATAATAATAGTACAGTGGTACCTCAGGTTAAGAACTGAATTCGTTCTGGGGGTCCGTTCTTAACCTGAAACTGTTCTTAACCTGTGGTACCACTTTAGCTAATGGGGCCTCCCACTGCCGCCACGCAATTTCTGTTCTCATCCTGAAGCATAGTTCTTAACAGAAGGTACTATTTCTGGGTTAGCAGAGTCTGTAAACTGAAGCGCCTGTAACCTGAGGTACCACTGTAGAAGTTATAGTATTAGTATCTTCCCCCAGCCGCTCTGGGCAGCTTACAGTACATATAGTTAAAGATATAGGGACCCCTGACCATTAGGTCCAGTCGCGGATGACTCTGGGGTTATGGCGCTCATCTCGCTTTATTGGCCGAGGGAGCCAGCGTACAGCTTCCGGGTCATGTGGCCAGCATGACTAAGCCGCTTCTGGCGAACCAGAGCAGCGCACGGAAACGCCGTTTACCTTCCCGCCGGAGCGGTACCTACCGTATTTTTCGCTCTATAAGACACACCTAATTTTGGGGGGAGGGATCCAAGAAAAAAAGATTTTTGAATCCCAGAAGCCAGAACAGCAAGAGGAATCTGGCTTCTGGGATACTGTGTGGCTGTTCTGGCTTCTGGGATAACAGCGCCAAGGGCAGCAGGATGAAGAGGCTAAGGCAGAAGCCAGGACAGGCGCCTCGCTGAAGGGGCGCTGCGCAGTTCTCCCTCTTTGCGCAGCCGAAGACTGATAAGCATAACAGGATCCAAAAATAGCAAAAATGTAACTCTGACTTAGCATTCCAAAACAGCACTCAAGTAAGAAACAGACAAGCAGAGTAGAGTAATATCAGAATAGGAAGTGGGAGCAGGCGCATTTCAATACTGTAATTTATATATAATTCAATGTCAGAGTAACCCTGGGACTAGATAAAAAGCCTCCAGGTGGACGTGCCCCATCTGCCCTTCACTTTCCTCTTCCGCACAGGCAGAATCTGCCTTCTGGACTGTGGGATTCACGGTTGTTCTCCTCCTCTCCATCCACCAGGGCTTGACTTCAGGTGCAGCAGAATTCCCCAGCCCCCCAAGGATTTGAGACCCATCAGCTTTCCTCACCTGGTTTAGCCGGCTGGTTGAAGCCGTTGCTTGAACCCCTGTTGCATGCTGACAGCTTCTGGAAGCCACAGGTGAGACCTGAGTGCGGGGTGGGGACCAAGGGTGGAAAAATGACCCCAGAAGGTGTAGGACATGTCCCCCACCAAAGGAACTACTGCTCCCCAACACCCCATGACATCTAGATTCAGGTAGGTAGCCGTATTGGTCTGAAGCACTTGAAATAAAAAATTAAAAAATAGTCCAGTAGCACCTTAAAGGTAAAGGTAAAGGTACCCCTGCCCGTACGGGCCAGTCTTGACAGACTCTAGGGTTGTGCGCCCATCTCACTCAAGAGGCCGAGGGCCAGCGCTGTCCGAAGACACTTCCGGGTCACGTGGCCAGCGTGACAAAGCTGCATCTGGCGAGCCAGCGCAGCACACGGAAACGCCGTTTATCTTCCCGCTATAAAGTGATACCTATTTATCTACTTGCACCCGAGGGTGCTTTCGAACTGCTAGGTTGGCAGGCGCTGGGACCAAGCAACGGGAGCGCACCCCGCCGCGGGGATTCGAACCGCCAACCTTTCGATCGGCAAGCCCTAGGCGCTGAGGCTTTTACCCACAGCGCCACCCGCGTCCCGTAGCACCTTAGAGACCAGCCTATTTTGTTCTAGGTATAAGCTTTCGTGTGCATGCACACTTCTTCAGATACACTGACACAGATGTCACCATACCCTTGTATATTGTAGGAGGGTGGGCTGGGGTTTTTCTCAGAAAGGTACTCCTACTACCATCTCACACTACCCTTCACTATATGAAGAAGTGTGCATGCACACGAAAGCTTATACCTAGAACAAACTTAGTTGGTCCCTAAGGTGCTGCTGTTGTTGTTGTTGTTTATTCGTGTCCGACTCTTCGTGACCCCCTGGACCAGAGCACGCCAGGCACTCCTGTCTTCTACTGCCTCCCGCAGTTTGGTCAAACTCATGCTGGTAGCTTCGAGAACACTGTCCAACCATCTCGTCTTCCGTTGTCTCCTTCTTGTGCCCTCCATCTTTCCCAACATCAGGGTCTTTTCCAGGGAGTCTTCTCTTCACATGAGGTGGCCAGAGTCTTGGAGCCTCAGCTTCAGGATCTGTCCTTCCAGTGAGCACTCAGGGCTGATTTCCTTCAGAATGGAGAGGTTTGATCTTCTTGCAGTCCATGAGACTCTCAAGAGTCTCCTCCAGCACCATAATTCAAAGCATCCATTCTTTTGCGATAAGCCTTCTTTATGGTCCAGCTCTCACTTCCATAATCACTACTGGGGAAACAATAGCTTTAACTATATGGACCTTTGTTGGCAAGGTGAGGTCTCTGCTTTTTAAGATGCTGTCTAGGTTTCTCATTGCTTTTCTCCCAGGACCCTAAGGTGCTACTGGACTATTTTTGTTAATTTTTTACTTCAACTGTGTCAGACCAAAATGGCTTTTTTACTTTTTTACTTTTTACTTCAACTGTGTCAGACCAAAATGGCTACCTACCATGAAGAACAGTTCTCTCCTTGCCTTGAATATCCTGCCTTTCAGTGCCAGATAAGGATAGTCCTGTGTCAGAAGACAAGCACAGGATCAGGCAGCACATCATCATTATAAATAACCATTGGGGTGGGTGTTTCTGCCTGGGATTCCCATGTGCCATCTGCTTTCCTTCTGCTTCTCCTGCTCTCTCCATGCAATGTGAGGCATGTAGACGGAGGTCCATCTCCCAGAACAGGAGCTTCCCTGAGCACCCATTCAGCTGACGCCAAGCACCAAGCCTTGTCACTAGTTCTCTGACTGAGCCAGACCACAGTCCCTGGAAGAAATGAAGGCCTGGGTCTCCCAAAATGGTCCATATGGACCTCCTGAGGTCAGTGGGACTGCAGGTGATTCATGAAGATCTAGAGGTGGAAACGGGGGCAGCCACTTGATTTGAAAGGCAGTCTCAGAGGACAACAGTATTCCAAGATCATGCTGTGTTATTAAAGATGATTGAGGATTATGAAAAGTTGCTGATGCATTACTACCATTTGACACCTTACCATTTTCATTTCCTAAAAATTGGGAAAATGGGTAGGACATGGGAGAATGTAGAAGATGTTTAAATAGGAGAAGGTGCTAATGGCGGTTGATGGGCCCTTTTTTCTGTGTTTTCTTTCCTGAAACCCAAACAGGATTTCCTTTCTGCTCACTCTGAAAAAGGTGATGGAGAAGACAGAATTGCAGGGGACAGGGCACCTTTCATTTCATTAGGAATAGCCATTAAAATGTGTGAAATGTGGAATATGCTTCACTGAATGAGCACACATAGTTCACATCAACGAACAGAAAAAGGAAAGAACCCATTTAAAGGTATCGAGTGCGGAAAGAGCTTGTGTTTCAATGCAAAACTTAGAAGACACCAGTGGACTCACACAGAGAGAAAACTCACACAGAGAGTATGGGAAGAACTTCAGTCAGAGTGGAAACCTTAAATTGCACAAACGGACTCACACAGGGGGGAAACCATATGAATGTATGGAGTGTGGAAAGGAATTTAGTAATAGTGGAAACCTTGGAAGACATCAACGGGAACACACAGGGGAGAAACTTTATAAATGTATTGAGTGTGGAAAGAGCTTTAGTGATAATGGAAAACTTAGAAGACATCAATGGACTCACACAGAGGAGAAACCATTTAAATGTATAAAGTGTGGAAACGCCTACAGTCAGAGTGGACACCTGAGAAGACATCAACGTACTCACACAGGGGAGAAACCATTTCAATGTATGGAGTGTGAAAAGAGCTTTATTGATAGTGGAAGCCTTAGCAGACATCAACAAACTCACACAGGGGAGAAACCATTTAAATGTATGGAGTGTGGAAAGGGCTTCAGTCACAGTGGAAGTCTTAGAAGACATCAATGGATTCACACAGAGGAGAAACCATTTAAATGTATGGAGTGTGGAAAGAGCTTTAGTGATAGTGGAAGCCTTAGCAGACATCAACAGACTCACACAGGGATGAAACCTTTTAAATGTATGGAGTGTGGAAAGAGCTTCAGTTATAGTGGAAACCTTAGAAGACATCAACATGCTCACATTGGTAAGAAACAATTTAAATGTATGGAGTGCGGAAAGAGCTTTAGAGATAATGGAAAACTTAGAACTCATCAACGGACTCACACGGAAGAAACCATTTAAAAGTATGGAGTAAATACTAAATGCTTCACTCTGAGTGGAAATCTGAGAAAACATCAGCAGACACACAGGGGAGAAACCATTTAAAGGTATGGACTGTAGAAGAAGCTTCAGTCAGAGTGGAAGCCTTGATTTATGTCAACAAACTCACACAAAAGACAAACCATATAAATATCAGGAAATTAGATAGAGGTTCACTCTTAGTGGAAGTTCAAAATCAACAGACTCATGGACAGGAGAAGCAGTTTAAATGAAAAGACTGCAAAAAGTGCTTTATTTATATTGGAGTGATTAAGAAACATCTAGGGACTCTCACATGGGAGAACCCATTTAGATGTATGGAGTGTGGGACGCCTTCCTCTCAGAGTCCTCCCTGAGCAATGAATTCAGCAGGAAATCATTCCTAAAAGCATGAGGTATATTTGATGTTCTGGTGTTTATATGTTAAACTGTATAATAATGAAATAATGAAGGCAACATCTCACAATCAAGTATAATTTTAGATGAAAGTACCTTTGGTTTTTGCACCAAACTCTGTCACCCCCCCACCGCATGATCTCCAAGCACTGCTTCTTCACCAGAACTTCATCGCTGCCTCCTGCCCTGCGCGTTCTGAAGAAAACTTGAAATACTGAAATTGAATGGGAGATTTCCCCCAAGCCTAATTTCAAGAGGGGAAAGGAGGGGCTGCAGGTACCAGGGAAATCTCCTGGGGGGGGGGTCATCTTCACTCATGAACCCCATGGGGCAACCCCAGAGCCCTGCTTATTCCAGGGTTTGGGAAAGAGTGTATTTTTCCATAGTCCCAGAAGTTTTGCTTTAATCATGCTACTCGGGAGTTTTCCTACCAGAGGACCACAGTGCTGTGGCTGCTGTTGTTATGGACTGGCTGGTGAGGGGGGGGGGAGGCACCAGCTGGGGGACTCACAAGGGAAGAAGGCTCAGAGCCCAGGGACTTGTGGTGCGATGGCAATAAGCCGAAAGAGGGAAAAAGGGGAGCAGACGGGAAGGGGAGATGCAGTATGAGATTCCAAATTCTTTGTATATGTGTGTAATTTAAATCAATAAAGATTATTTTAAAAAATAAATAAATTTGTGGCCGGCCTGATCAATCGTTGCTTCCTCTGGTTAGCCCCGCTGGAACTCCAGTTCATTCCAGACCCTGGGGTCTCCAGAGGACTGGTGGCTCCTCCTGGCAAATGGCCTGGTGCGCGCTGGATCACCAGTCCTTCCTTGCCCCCAGAATCCGGGCAACCGAAGGTCCCATCTGGGGTGCCATCTGTTGTAAACAAAAGCTGCCCTTCTTCCCTTATGGGGGACACAAGAGCCCTTTATAGAGTCCCTTGTAGGTTCTCCATCGGTAGGAGGAAATAACAGAGACATCCAGAGACTATTGAGAAGCAAAGCAGCTAGTAAGCCTGATCTTTATTGATCTGATGCAACAGGGTGCTCCCCTGAGGAGGACCCCGAACCAAGGCGTGCCAGCCCTTATATACACATTTTAAATTCCCTGACCTGGAGCTCCAGACCACCCCTGCATTTCATCAACAGAAGGGGCCGTCAACCCAAGACCACCCCCCACAACATCATACATACATCACAGAAAAGGCGGTCTACAACAGAAATTTGAATGTCGTTGCTTTTCCTGTCTGCCAGGTTTATCTGATAATGCCTTATCTGATTCCCTTTCCTGGTAGTCTGGCCATTTCCTTTGAGATCATGTTTACCCAATTCCTGAGACAATGGGAAGGTTCCCTCACCCGCTCCCTGCTATGCAGAGTAAACATTTGGTCAGTTGGGAGTCTAAATGGTTTCAGGGCGGTCTTCCTGTGCTGCTCCAGACACGTGGTTGACATATCTATGTATGTGCTTGTAGGTACATTTATGAACATTTATTATCTATATAAGACATTGTTATGGAAAATCTAGGTGTGAGGCTGGCTCCTGCCACCTACTCGCCTTGACTGAGTCTGCAGATCCCTGCGGACAAAAAGGAGGCCGCAGCCAAGAGACCGGAAGCATTCATTCAGTTAATATTCTCCTTTCCCATCCTGCCCCACAACAACCACTCTGCTGAGGTGAGTGGGGGCTGAGAGACTTCCAGAGAAGTGTGACCTGGCCCCAAGGTCACCCAGCAGCTGCATGTGGAGGAGCGGAGTACGGGAACCTCGGTTCCCCCAGATTACGATCTACGGCTCTTAACCACTACCCCCACCTGGCTCTCGAACAAGAACACTCCAGGTGTACCACCACAACTTCTCCCTCAATCCCCTCCTTCTTTGTGATGTGGTGCTATGATGTAGTCCTTGGGGGTGTTGCATGGTTGGGAATTCGGAGCTAATAAAAGTTGGGGTCTTCCTTTGTTGGGGGCTTCCATCTTGTTCCACCTGGGGGCAGGTGGGAGTCCTGTGGCAACAGTCTTCAGTCAAGACCTACTGGCTGCTCTTTTGCTCTGCTCTTCCTGGCTGGTCTCCTTGTTTCTTGTCCAAGGGATCCCTCAGATCTTGGAATCCGCTTCTGGCTACAATTGTATCGGCTGCTTTTCTGAGCCTCTTGGCTGTTGTGCAGGGACGGGGCATGTGTCCACGGTCCTTGTCCTGGCCTTAGTCAGAGGCTGGGGTGGGGAGCTGGGATTTGGGGGGGTCGTTTAGCTGCCCGCCTCCATTCCTGGTTTGAACAGCACCAAGACCTAAAACACGGAGGGATCTAAGCTCGTGGGGTGGGGGAGGGGAGGGGAGGATGTTGCAATGCAAACCTTGTAGGAGGGACGGGACCCACTTTGCAGCTGGATCTCCAGGATCAGCCCCTCCCCCGCTCTCCTGTTCCCAGAAGGAAGAGGGGAGGGGGAAAACCTTCCTCTCCCCCCACCCTCAATACTTCCCCTCCCCTCCCGGCACATCTTCCTTTCACCCCGCCCCCACAACCCCAGATCCCGCCCCCAAACATCCCACCCCTTCCTCCTCCTCCTCCAATCCGGCTTCTGCTCCAGGAATGTGGGGGGGGGGGGTGAGACCCCTCCCAACCTTCTCCCGGAAGTGGAGCTTCCACTCCGGATTGCTGCTCTGCCCCATAGCTCTAGGGGGGCGCTTTCGGAAAGGGGAGGAAGGAGGCAGGGGACCCCCCCCCCCCGTGGATGTTGCAGGAAAGGAGAATCGGGAGGGAGGACAAAGAGGTAAAGGGGTCCCGGGGGGGGGAGAGGGGAGAAGAGGACCCAGAGACCCCTCCAGCTCCCCCTCGCAGAGACCCCTCCAGCTCCCCCTCGCAGAGACCCCTCCAGCTCCCCCTCGGCTTTCCTCGCAGGGGTGGACGTGGGGCGCCCACCCACGAGGACTCACTGGCCCCGTTTCCCCCGCGCAGGCATCCCTGGGGCGCGGAGAGAAGCCAGGATAGAGACCCCCCTGTCCCTCCCCCACTCCCGTTGGGGGGGGCCCTAGGAAGGAGAGATGGGGCGAGCAGGGTGAGGGGCCAGTCGCGCCGGAGTGCAGGGGAAACTACGGGAGAGAGGGAGGGGGGAGGAAGTGAACACTGGGGGGTGGGGAGATAGGAAGAACAGTCTTTGGGGACACGTCTCCATCGTGGCTTACCTGGGGAATCTCCGGGGGGGCCGCCTTGGCTTATACCTCCCGCCCAGGAATCGACCCCCCCTTCAGGGCGACCAGAGAGGGATCCCTGGAAAGTGGGGGGTCCAGTCCCCCCTCCCCTTCATTCCTGCAACCTCCATCCTCTTCCCCACCCCATAAGCCCCTGCCCTGTCCGGACGCAGCGCTTCTGCCCAGTCCAGCCATTGGTCCCCTGGAGAGGAGAGGAAATCCCGAGACAAGGGGGAGGGGAGGCCTTCTCGGAAGCGGCTCTTGGTTTCCGCAATCCCACCCAGGAAGCAGCCAGAAGCCTTTTCCTCTCTCTCAGGCTTCCATCTTTATTGTCTTTTCCACTGAGGGTGAGGATAATGTACACCTGTCATCAGAAACAGGGGTGCAGAGTCCATGGAATGGCGCTCAGGATTGATACAGAAGTTGCACCTCAAAAGCATTTCTGTTCCCCTATACTTTGTAGGCAATGTCACAGTGACTGACAAGCTGAGATACAACCCATCATCATCCAATGATAGCCATTGCAGGAATCTTCCCAGTCAAAGGACCCATTTTCATGATAGACAGTGCCTGTGGCTGGAGGCTCTACACACCGGTGTCCCTGTGCAGGCCAGAGACTGCCAGTATTAGCACAGGTGAGGTGTGTGACCCCCCCTCCAAATTGACAGACTGTGTGTGAATGAGAGTTTGTGGGTGGGATTATAGTTTACGGCAACCCTGTGATTTTCTCCACCCATAACATTTCGTAAGCTAATATTGCAGTAAAAATTCCAAAATAACTACAAAAAATCACAAGATAATAATAATAGTACAGTGGTACCTCAGGTTAAGAACTGAATTCGTTCTGGAGGTCCGTTCTTAACCTGAAACTGTTCTTAACCTGTGGTACCACTTTAGCTAATGGGGCCTCCACTGCCGCCATGCAATTTCTGTTCTCATCCTGAAGCAAAGTTCTTAACAGAAGGTACTATTTCTGGGTTAGCAGACTCTGTAACCTGAAGCGTCTGTAACCCGAGGTTCCACTGTAGACGTTATAGTATTAGTATCTTCCCCCAGCTGCTCTGGGCAGCTTACAGTACGTATAGTTAAAAGGTATAGGGACCCCTGACCATTAGGTCCAGTCGTGGCCGACTCTGGGGTTACGGAGCTCATCTCGCTTTATTGGCCAAGGGAGCCGGCGTACAGCTTCTGGGTCATGTGGCCAGCATGACTAAGCTGCTTCTGGCGAACCAGAGCAGCACACGGAAAGGCTGTTTACCTTCCCGACAGTACAGTATATATACAAGACAGTAAAACATCAAACATTACAAAACTCCGGATACAGCTGTCTTCTAAATGTCAGATGATTGCCTGTTTCCTTGCCCACAGAAGGGAGGGCATTCCATGGGGCAGGAGGCCCTCTCCCTGGTTTCCCTGGAACTTCACTTGTAACCAGCAAGGGAACCAGCAAGAAGACCCCTCGGAGGCGGACCTCCCTGAGCGATGGGGTGAAGATGCTCTCTTCAGGTCCACAGGGCCGAGGCTATGAGAGTAACCCCTGGGACTAGATAACAAGCCTCCAGGTGGACGTGCCCGATCATGCCCTTCACTTCCTCTCTCCGCACGCGCAGAATCTGCCTTCTGGACTGTGGGATTCACGGTTGGTTTCTCCTCCTCTCCATCCACCAGGGCTTGACTTCAGGTGCAAGCAGAATTCCCCCAACCCCCCAAGGATTGTAGCGACCCATCAGCTTTCCTCACCTGGTTTAGCCGGCCTGTTGAAGCCGTTGCTTGAACCCCTGTTGCATGCTGACAGCTTCTGGAAGCCACAGGTGAGAGCTGAGTGCAGGGTGGGCACCAAGGGTGGGAAAATGACCCCAGAAGGTGCAGGACATGACCACCACCAAAGGAACTACTGCTCCCCAACACCCCATGACATCTAGATGCAGGTAGGTAGCCGTGTTGGTCTGACACAGTTGGAATAAAAAATTAAAAAATAGTCCAGTAGCACCTTAGAGACCAACTAAGATTGTCCTGAGTATAAGCTTTCGTGTGCATGCACACTTCTTCAGATACAGTGACACAGATGTCACCAGACCCTTGTATATCGTGGGAGGGTGGGGTGGGTTTTTTCTCAGAAGGGTACTCCTACTACGATCTCCCACTACCCATCACTATATGAAGAAGTGTGCATGTACACGAAAGCTTATACCTAGAACAAACTTAGTTGTCCCTAAGGTGCTACTGGACTATTTTTGTTAATTTTTACTTCAACTGTGTCAGACCAAATTGGCTACCTACCATTAAGTACAGTTATCTCCTTGCCTTGAATATCCTGCTTTTCAGTGCCAGATTAGGATAGTACTCTGTCAGAAGACAAGCAGAGGATCAGGCAGCACATCATCATTAAAGAACCATTGGGTTGGGTATTTCCGCCTGGGATTTCCCATGTGCCATCTGCTTTCCTTCTGCTTCTCTTGCTCTCTCCATGCAATGTGAGGCATGTAGACAGAGATCCATCTCCAAGAACAGGAGCGTCCCTTGAACACCCATTCAGCTGACCCCAAGCACCAAGCCTTGTCACTAGTTCTCTGATTGACCCAGACCACAGTTCATGGAAGAGATGTAGACCTGGGTCTCCCAAAATGGTCCATATGGACCTCCTGAGGTCAGTGGGACTGTGCAGGTGATTCATGAAGATCTAGAGGTGGAAACGGGGGCAACCACTTGATTTGAAAGGCATTCTCAGAGGACAACGGTATTACAAGATCATGCTGTGTTATTAAAGATGATTGAGGATTATGAAAGGTTGCTGATGCATTACTATCATTTGACATCATAGCATTTTCATTTCCTAAAAATTGGGAACATGGGGAGGACATGGGAGAATGTAGGAGATGTTGAAATAAGAGAAGGTGCTAATGGCAGTTGATGTGTCCTTTTCCCCCCTGTGTTCTCTTTCTTGAAACCCAAACAGGATTTCCTTTCTGCCCACTCTGAAAAAGGTGATGGAGAAGACAGAATTGCAGGGGACTGGCACCTTTCGTTTCATTAGGAATAGCCATTAAAATGTGTGAAATGTGGAATATGCTTCACTGAATGAGCACACATAGTTCACATCAACGAACACAAAAAGGACAGAACCCATTTAAAGGTATGGAGTGCGGAAAGAGCTTCTCTTTCAATGCAACACTTAGAACACACCAGCGGACTCACAGAGAGAGAAAACGTTTTAAGTGCAGGGAGTGTGGGAAGAACTTCTGTCATAGTGGACACCTCAATATACATCAACGGACTCACACAGGGGAGAAACCATATAAATGTATGGAGTGTGAAAAGAGCTTTAATGATAGTGGAACCTAAGAAACAACGGACTCACACAGGGGAGAAACCATTTAAATGTATGGAGTGTGAAAAGAGCTTTAGTGATAGTGGAAAGCTGAGATCACATGAACGGACTCACACAGGGGAGAAACCATATGAATGTATGGAGTGTGGAAAGGTTTTCAGTCAGAATGGAAGCCTTAGATCACATCAACGGACTCATACAGGGGAGAAACCATTTAAATGCATGGAGTGTGGAAAGAGCTTCAATCAGAGTGGAAACCTTAGAAATCATCAACGGACTCATACAGGGGAGAAACCATTTAAATGCATGGAGTGTGGAAAGAGCTTTAGTGATAATGGAAACCTTAGAAATCATGAACGGATTCCACAGGGGAAAACCATATAAATGTATTGATTGTGGAAAGAGATTTAGTGATAATGGAAACCTTAAAAAACATCAACGGTCTCACACAGGGATGAAACCATTTAAATGCATGGAGTGTGGAAAGGGCTTCAGTCAGAGTGGAGACCTTAGAAATCATCAACGGACTCACACAGGGGAGAAACCATATAAATGTATGGAGTGTGGAAAGAGCTTTAGGGTTAATGGACACCTTAGACAACATCAACAGACTCACACGGATAAACCATTTAAAGGTATGGACTGTAGAAAGAGCTTCAGTCAGAGAGAAACCCTTGATTTCTGTCAACAAACTCACATAAAATATAAACCATATAAATATCAGGAAAGTAGATAGAGGTTCACTCTTAGTGGAAGTTCAAAATCAACAGACTCACAGACAGGAAGAACTTGTAAGAGTGAAACCTTCAAACCATCACAACTCAAAGAGGAGAAGCAGTTTAAATGAAAAGATTGCAAAAAGTGCTTTATTTATAATGGAGTATTTAAGGAACATCTAGGGATCT